ATAAGCAGCTTTGCATAATTGGCAATTCAGTGGCTTGGATTCAGATTGAATTTTTACACAGCCAGGCTGGCACAACTCAATAGCCCAGTTTGTTTTTTCTATAGAAGTTTTTGCAGACTTGGGAAAATACTGCATGCTGGGTCAAGAAATCTAGCTGGCTGCAATGGAAGGGAGGAATTCCTGAAAAAACAGGGGCCTCTTCTGTGACAAGAATTCTGCTCCTACAAAGAATTTCCATTCAGTTTTCAGACTTCCTGCCCAGCTCTATAGCTGACCTAATTCAGCATCTCCTTTAGAGGATGCTCTAAATATGACTGACTATTTTGGCAAAATAACAGAATAATACAGTTGGAGGGAACCTTGGAGGTCTTCTAGTTTAGCCCCCTACTCAAATGGCTGTTCAATCTCTTCTTAAAAACCTCCAATGTTGGAGCATCCACAACTTCTGGAGGCAAGTTGTTCCAATTGTTTTTACTGTCAGAAAATTTCTCCTTAGTTCTAAGTTGGTTCTCGATTAATTTCCATCTGTTGCTCCTTATACTGCCTTCAGGAGCTTTGGAGAATAGCTTGACACCCTTTTCTTTGTGGCAACTCCCGAGATATTGAAACACTGCTATCATGTCACCCCTAGTCCTTCTTTTCATTAAAGTAGACATACCCAATTCCTACAACTGTTCTTCATATGTTTTAGCCTCCAGTCTAATCGTTAACTGTGTTGCTCTTCTCTGTACTCTTTCTAGGATCTGAACATCTTTTTATATCATGGCAACCAAAACTGGATGCAATATTCCAAGTGTGGTCTTACCAAGACCTTATAAAGTAGCATTAACACTTCACATGATCTTGATTATATCCCCCTGTTAGCTTTTTTGGCAGCTGCAGCATACTGCTGGCTCATATTTAAGTGATTGCCCACTAGGATTCCATATCCTTCTTTCACAGTTATTACTGTTGAGCCAAGTACTGCCTATTCTGTACCTATGCATTTGGTTTTTCTTGCCTAAATGTAAAACCTTACTTTTCTCTACACTGAATTTCATTTTGTTAGATAGGGCCCAGTGTTTAAGTCTGTCCTTCTGTATCTTGAGCCTAGAGTATTGGCTATTCCTACCAGCTTGGTGTCAATTTGATGAGTTGACCAGTTGTATGCACATTCATACCCAATATTAAATGTTCAGGAAATGCTGACATGAACGTCTTTATATCATCAGCTTTCTTTATAGCAATAGCAATAGCAGTTAGACTTATATACCGCTTCATAGGGCTTTCAGCCCTCTCTAAGTGGTTTACAGAGAGTCAGCATATTGCCCCCAACAATCTGGGTCCTCATTTTACCTACCTCGGAAGGATGGAAGGCTGAGTCAACCCTGAGCCGGTGAGATTTGAACCGCTGAACTGCTGATCTAGCAGTAGCAGCCTGCAGTGCTGCATTTAACCACTGCGCCACCTTGGCTCTTTATCTATTACTGTACTTTAAATTCTCATAATCCCCATGAATTTCAGAGTTGCAGAGCACAGTTTGGGAAAGATTGTCTTTGGCTTCACTGTTTAAACCGGTGTTTCTCAACCTTGGCAATTTTAAATGTGGACTTCAATTCCCAGAATTCTAAGTCTAACCTACCATTCCCTAGCCAGGAATCCTAGAAGTGAACTCCACACAACTAAAATGTTGCCAAGTTTGACTGGTTTGGAAAACACTGATTTAATCACAATAAATGTTGTTCTAAACCTGTCCAATTAAAAAAAAACACCTTTCAAAAATGGCTTATTAATTGGATGGGACACCCACCATGAAATCCCAGAGTGACATATACCAATAAGACGTTGAACAAACATCTCAGAAGACAGCAATGGCAACACATTTCATGGCCACTAAAACAATATGTTTCTATGATATGACAAGAAGCCAAGCTTGTCTGAAAGAAGTTTTAATATGAAAGTCTCTGATCATTTAAAGTTTTGTATCCAATTATCGTAAGCTGGTAGTCTGTCTATTTATCCAACCATATTTCATCAAGAGGAATATTTTCCCTTTATTTACATTACAGTTATATTGTTGGATTGGACTATAACTTCATAATTCTGTCCCAATCAGTATCTCTAAAGAGGCTCCGAAACATAGACTTAAAATCCTTGTTTTTTTCTTGTTGTTGAACTCTAAAATGTGATATTCAGAAGCATGTCATCTCTTAATATGTCAATTTCCATTAGGTCTAAGATGATCAATGTAGTTTCAGTTCATTTATTTAACCCTTTTAAAAAATCTAGCATAACTACTAATGACTTAGATTCTTCATTTAGATTTTCTATGTTTCACACTGTGCCATGTTAAGTACATATTTTTGTTAGTCCGACTGCTGAGCTCTTTAATTTAATTTGATTAGAATTTAATCAAATTCTAGAAATGAATAAGTAAAAAAAGAAAGTGTATCTAGCTACTTTCTTAATCTTACTCATAACTTTACAAATGGTTATCAGTTAAATTCACCTTGTGCCTTAACATCATGTCTTATCCTTTGTCAGTGTAACGTGAAAACTCACTATGGTTCGTAAACTGAGCTTATGACTTGATGTTATGTGTGAAATCAACTACTAGGTTTATTCAAGAAATTACGGTATGCTTAAAAAAACATATCTTAGTACATTTTGTGAACACAGTAGTCATTGTTTCTACATAAGTCTTTTACGTAGTGTCCCATATGTACTTGAACTTAAATAGAAAAACAAGTATTTCTTTTCCCCCCTTTCATTAACTTACCTTATCTGGAGATTTCAGCCTTTTTGACATGCTAATATCATCTTCCCAATGGAGCATGGCCATTGCACTTTGTTATCCTATAATCCTAAAAACGTATTTGCCAATATATTTTTGCAAAGCAGCCTTTGCTGTTTTTTTTAAATCCTTCAGGGAATAGATCAGTTCAAGTTCAAAAGTTGCTATTTTACTTAATTTTCTCCCTGCTAATTAATATTTTTATTTCTACAACTCATTGAAGCTGCTTTATGCACTTGTATATCTAATGTTAGGGCTAGGGCTGCCAAACAGGTTACTGTTTTCTTATTGAACAATGGGTAACCATGACAGTGCCAGCCAGTTACAAAGGATTAAAAAATGGTGTTCTGTTCTGGAATGATGAATTCCAGAATGTTTATACAATGATTTTAACAATTCCCCTAAGGTGGTCTCTCACAACGGTTAACTTCCTGCAACCTGGCATTACCCAGATGGACCACTTCATAGTTTCCATCAATACTGGCCAGTATAGTTATTGTCATCAGGATGAAAAACACTATTTTAGAAAACCAAGTTTAGCATAGCGTGATTTGATTTTTATGGCTCTTATGTGTGCTAATTTTGTTTAGATTATATCATTTTTCTAGCATCAATTTTCTTCTCTGTTTTTTCCTTTCTTTTTGACTCTCCCTCCCCTGAAACAAACCGCTCTTAGCTGGATCACCTTCGCATAGCTGTGACTGATCCCTGCATTCCTCTCTTCCATTCTGTGTTCCTTGGCCATTTTGCGGTCTGCTTTTTCAATGGATTATTCGCAGATATAAAATAAAATGGAACGCTGATTTTTTTTTTCATATACAGGTAGTCCTCGACTTACAACAGTTCGCTTAGTGGCCATTCAAAATTAGAAAAACACTGAAGAAAGCAATTTATACTGTTTTTCAGACTTACGACCATTGCATTTCAATGATAACATGCTCAAATTTGAGGTGCTTGGCAAATGACTCATATTTATGATGGTAGCAGTGTCCCAGGGTCCTGTGATCTTCTTTTGTGACCTTCTGACATGCAAAGTCAATGAGGAAGCCAGATTAATTTAACAACCGTGTTATTAACTTAACAACTGCAGTAATTCACTTAACAACTGTGCCAAGAAAGGTCGTAAAATGGGACAAAATTAACAACAAATGTTTCACTTAACAACATAAAATTTTGGGCTCAATTGTGGTCATAAGTCAAAGACTACTTGTACTGTATTTTTCTATTCTTTTACTATTCCTACCCACCCAATCTGCTGCACAAAATAACCCACTAAAACTTTTGGAGAACAACCCACTTGGAGGCCTACCTGGAACTGCAGAAGTAGCAGAAGATTGTAAAGTCTAATTCTAAGATTCCATTTAAAAACTGGACCCTATGGCTTAAAACCATTATTTCTCAACATTAGCAGCTATGAACTTTAATGGCCAGAATTCTTCCACCTGCCCTGGGGAATTCTGGGTATTGAAGTCCACACATCTTAAAACTACCAAGGTTGAGAAACATTGATTTGAAACATAAATTCTGCCCCTCCTGATGTTTTATTTCTTCGTAACCTAAGGTAGAATTCTGAGCAATCCAAATCTTAATTTGCCCACCTTTTAAAAATCCATTTTGAGATTTTTCTTTCAGATAAAATTAAATTTAAAAAAATTGCTGTGCAGTTTTTAATTAGGGCTATTCCGATAGCAAAGAATCCGGACAGCACATTAGATGACAGAAAAGAGTTAGTTTTAACTGATAGTGATTATCTGGATTTTTGGTAGTCCAGATTATTGGATAGTTCTATTTTCATGCACCTCGAACCTGCTCAAGAGCAGGTTTGGGTCTTGATTTTTTCTACCCAGGCTTCAATTGATTGCTTGAATTCAGTGAAGAGCAAATTTATAAGGAAACCCTGCCACGGATTGTATAACGACACACTGTATTCAGTGAACTTGTCCTTGGGTTTTCTCACTTTTTTTTGTTGTTGTTGTTCTTTACGGAAAACTGTAAAAAGGGAAAAAATGTTAAGGGCGTTCCTTCCGGGAAAGGGGGGCGGATTCTTATAGGCCCACGCAAATAAGTGGAAACGAAAGGAATGGAAGGCGTGGCCTCCTATGCAAAAGAGCCTGAAATATCGATCACGATGCAAAATGGAGCGCCGGACGTGACACGGTGGAAAGCGGCGTATCCGAAACTCGGGATAAAGAGGCGTGGCCAGCTAGGTAGATGCAGAGGCGGGGCTTAGAGGTGGACTGAGAGGCGGTAGAGCCGAATCGCTGTTAGAACGTTCGCGGCCTGGGTCACGTGGCGCGCAGTCCCGGCGCAGAAGAGCTTTGGATATCGAGTGTGAAAAATCGGTGTTCCTGAAGGTTTCTCTGCGCATGCACAGAGTGCGTTTGCTTCACGTTTCCGTCTCCAACTCCGGTAGTTCGTGATCAGAGTCTGTAAAGGAAAGAGAGTGCCGTTCTCCACCGTAAGTACGACCCCAGCTGTGTGGAAGGGAGTATTCATTGATTTGGCAGCTGATTTTTTTTTGTATGTCAAAACGCAAAAAATAAAAATAAGGGTCAAGCTTCTTTGTGTGTAAGTGGGCAAGCCGGTTTTGTAGGATTTGGTTTTAACAGAATAACAGAGTTGGAAAGGGACCCTTGAGGGCTTCTAGTCCAACCCCCCTGCTCAGGCAGGAAACCCTAATACCATTACTGGCATATGGTTATCCAATTTCTTGTTAAAAACTTCCAATGTTGAGGCTCTCACAATTTTTGGGGTTGGGGCTTGATCTATATTGAAAAAAATGAATTTGTTGCTTGTTCTCGTTTGCACTGTGCAAGTTTCCAAAGGATTCCTATTTTAGTGTTCCTAGCTTCCTCCTCTTTGGGAGCCCTGTTCCACATTGTGTCCTGTGAAAGCAGCTTGTTTTCCTTTCTTAAGTTGCTTACCCTCCTTTATGTGGCTTGCGATTTCAGGGGCTCAGAAAGATGCATCTGTCATGGTTTATGGCCATTACCCTCTTAGGATTGGCTATCTGTGTGCCCATTGAAAGACCCAAAGAGAAACAAGAGGCTGCCCCAGAACCACCAGTAAGTATTCTGAGGATTGTCCATAATTCTCTGCTTCACAAAGGCCTTTATACCTACATATATGTTTTATTAGAAGAGGATTTTACATAGGTTTAAAAAACTTTAAAAAACCCTAAAAGAAAAAGTAGAAAAAATACAAAAGAATAAAGGAAAGGTAAGAATAACAAGATATCTAAAGCGTTCTATTTTTATTTTTTTGCAGGAGCTACAAATGTAATAATTGCCATCTCCACTCTCCCAAATTACAAACATGGTTTTCTTCTTCCCCAAATCAGTTCTTTTTATTCAATAAATCCCCAAATTTTCTGTTGATTTTTATCCATTTTCAGAAAAAAGTTCATAAAAGGTTTCTTTTTTATACATTATAGTGTATAATCTTCCCTTAAATAAACAAGTCAATTTAGCAATTTTTGCAGACTGCAGCAGCCTTTATTGAAGTTCCATATAAGATACCATGGCAATTGTACTGTCCCTTCCCAAATTGAACAACTCACATTCTTGCCAGAGAGGCTAGCCTGGACTGGAATCTGAGGTTGCAAGATTCTGATACTGAAATGGACACTGCTCCTTTAAGCCCAGCACAATTCCACCTGGAATCCTTGCCTCCATATCCTAGCAGTACTAATTGTCAAAAATTCAATGTGGGTTGGGTGAGAGGGTAAATAGAATGGAAGGGGTTGAAGCAGCATGTGGGATTTAACAGAAAAATATATGGCTATACCAGTATGGCTAAAATAGGTTTTATTCCGTTCATGAACTGTATTGTATTAACTCATTTGGAAGCAGGGTCCCCAAGATTTTCTCACTACCGTAGTGACAGCTGGCCTGAAATCATCTTATTCTAGTTGCCTGAACTAGCCACAGATAAAGATTGTAATGGATACACTGGTAAAACTGTTACAGATGATGTAAGATGAAAAATGGTGTTGGACCAAATTTCAGAATAATCTGGTGCCCACAAGTTTCCAAGAGAGACCAAATTGAAGCCGTATATAAGATACCTTAGCAATTGTACTGTCTTTTCCCATATTTGTGCTTTCCATAACTAGTGCAATGACAATAAAGTAAACTAAACTAGTTAAATGACAATTATGTGAGTTCATCTACAAGACATTCACGGTAAGTTTAGAAGGGACGTTGTGGCTCCTCTAGACCAGTGTTTTTCAACCTTTTTTGTGCAAAGGCACACTTTTTTCATGAAAAAAATCACGAGGCACACCACCATTAGAAAATGTTTAAAAAAATTAACTCTGTGTCTATATTGACTATATATAAAGTATTTTTCCCACGGCACACCTTACACTATGTCACGGCACACTAGTGTGCCGCGGCACAGTGGTTGAAAAACACTGCTCTAGACCAACCCCTGCCCAAGGCATTGGGCCCTAACTATATAATGAACTATCCCTGGACACCATAATTTATTCTTCCCTCTCAAATTATTTCCTGTCTATGGATAATGTTATATAATGTCTCTTCAGAGGGTTTTTTCGGTGCACATTTTGGCAAAAAACCCCACTTTGCTCTTGTCCTTCCACTTCATCCTTTCCCAACTTGAGGTCCTTAAGTGGACCTCAAAAAATTCCCCAACTAGCATACTTATGATGAACTCAAGCTGTGGAAAACTGCTATTCTCAATCTAAGTTTAAGTGGACATCACTAATATAAATGCATTATCTTTACTTTTAGTCACTCTTGTTATTTTCTCCTTCCTCCTTGGTTATTTTCAGTTTTAGATTGTAAAGTTTTCCAAGCATGACCTTGCCTTCTTGTACTTAATAATATATTTTGCATTTTATTAGCATGATATTATCATTTCTGAAGTTTAGTTGTGAATGCTGGTGTTAATGTACCCTGAGTAGCACTATCTGTAACCAGAAGAGAAATTTCAGTAAGTCTCATTTGAAGAAGTGCAACATCTGGATCTGACTCCTGACTTTTGTTTTTCTGAAGGACACAGGCTTGTATTATCACCGCTACCTCCAAGAAGTCATCAATGTGCTGGAAACTGATGGGCATTTCCGGGAAAAACTGCAAGCAGCCAATGCCGAGGATATCAAGGTGAATTGGGATATACAAGGGTGAATGTTGTGTCATAACTAGGGCCAAGTCCTCTCTTTTACCATTGTGGGAAGTTCAGTTTGGTAAACTTGGATTTGTCTTTTGGACTTAGTAATGGATACCAACCACTTTTACTATAGTGCTTTTTGCTTACAGAAAGGAAAGTGATCTTATTTTCCTGTGTCTTTAAGTGAAATACAGGGCAATGATACACACCCATACAGGAAGTCCACGACTTACAACCATTCATTTAGTAACCATATGAAGTTACAGTGGTGCTGAAAGAGTAATTTACAACTGGTACCTGGATTTACAACCAGATGCAACATGCCCATGGTCGTGTGATGAAAATTTAGGCGTTTGGCAACTGCCATATAATTAGACCATTGAAATGTCCCAGGGTAATGTGAATGCCATTTGCACCCTTCCTAGCAGCTTCTGACAAAATCAATGGAGGAAGCTGGATTTACTTAATTACCACATGATTCACTTAACTGAAATGATTTGCTTAAAATTTGTGGCACAAAAAACCATCAGAGCAACTCACTTTAACCGCCTTCTTTAACAATGAAAATTCTGGTTGTAAGTTGAGAACTACCTGTATAACAGAATCAATAGGATATAGTGACCTATTAGGATGAGAAAACCTAATTGGATTCAGATCCCAGTATTTATCCAAATTACTTTGATCACGCACATTGGAAACTGTTAAGTTGCAGCAGACTTATAAATTGAAATTGTATATATATATATATTATAATGGTGTACCTTTAAAGATAGTCGGGAGATAAAAATAGACTACCTACACAATGAGTTCCTCAACACAAGACTAGGATAAAAGTAAAATATCTGCTTCCTTGTTGCTCCTTTCAGAGTGGAAAACTCAGCAAAGAGCTGGACTTCGTGGGTCACAGTGTCCGCACAAAGTTAGATGAACTGAAGAGACAGGAGGTGTCCCGGCTTCGGATGCTCCTAAAAGCCAAAATGGATGCCACGATGGAGCAAGGTGAGTTGAGATAGGAGAGTGTTGATGGTGGGATTCCAGCCAATGTTGAGGACAGAGAACATGCCAAGCCCCAATTCTAGGTTCTATTGTTGTAATGCCATTAGTTGGATAGATGGAGAATAGCTGTTTGGTGGCTGGTCATTCCTGCTATGGAATCATTGTGCAAACAGACAGATCTTGTGATGGCCCTTGTGCTATATTGTGGCTTCTAAATTCCAGATAAGTTGCCAGATAATTTAATAGATGAGAGAATTTGTAGTTCAGCATTGAACTGAGGAGAGTCCTTAGTGGTCTCTGAGCTTGGCTGTTTTCTTGCAGACATTTCATTACCAAACTAGGTAACATCATCAATGCACTAATGATATTATCTAGTCTGGTAATGAAACCAAGGAGCCCACAGATAAATTAATAATATAAATTAATCCTTGGATTAACAGTTCTTAACTGCCTCTTTAATATCCCAAGGTACAAGGGGAAGCCGCTTGGCAATAATAGAATATTAGAGAAAACTGATTTGAAGACAAAACAAGCTGCTTTTCATCATTTAGCCAAATAATCATTTTAACAATAATAACTTAAAATTATTTGTCTAAATGATGAAAAGCAGCTTGTTTTGTCTTCAAATCAGTTTTCTCTAATATTCTGTTACTGCCAATGGGCTTCCCCTTGTGCTTCAGGATATTAAAGTGGAGGGGAGGGGACTTCATTTCAAAGGATCTATCCTCAAAATCTAGTAATGAAAGATGTCCTGTTCTTTAAGAAAAAAATTGATAGAAATCAAGCAACCTGCTTTCTTGAATGTGCTAAGCCGTAATTTAGTTTATCAGGCTTTGCTGTAACCTGGTTGTGTGAACCTAGCATTCAGTATTCAATAAACATTTAAGCAAACTAGTATAGTGCAGTATATGAGCCCCAGTGTTTTCTGGTTTCTATATAAATGTCAAGTCTGAAACTCTAATCTTCATCTCCCCCTTTTCCTCTTCCCTTTCAGATGTCCAGGTTGATCACCTGGCTTTATTGAAGCAGTTTGAACACCTGGACTCGCAAAACCAGCACACATTTGAAGCCCGAGATTTGGAGCTGCTCATTAAAACCGTATGACAGAATTTTTAAAAACATTTATTTCAGATTATTAAACCTTTGAATCTGTTTTGCATACCCCGGGCCCACTTCACCTCTGTATATTGTAGTACAAGCCCAGGGCATATGCTCTCTCTCCTTTTTTCCTCTCCCTTGCTCAGACTTTGCAGAAGGGAAGTGGTTAGAATTTCTTAGAAGGCTTGGAGGTTGATTCAAGGCTGTTGCAGGATTGATCTTTTTTACTTTTCACTTTCATCTGATGCTCAGCTATTGAGGTTGTTGGAGTGCATGGTTAGGTCAGTGCCAAAATGGAAGCCCCTGCCTCTAGACCCCTTCCAAAATACAGAAATACTCTATAGATAATCCATGCTACTTCCTCCTACTCCTTTTCTATCCCAGGAGCTCTAATCAGAAGATTAAAACTGATATTTTTTTTCATTTACCTCACCAAACAACATGTAGAGCTTTTAATAAAATATCTCCAGTTTGGTGGTTGCTGGGGTCAATGGGAGTTTGGGTCTAAAGAGGCTGGAAGACACAAGGCTGGAACAGACTGCCCTGGCTACTAGTATATGTTTATTTTGAAGATAGGATCAATATTAATATCTCCATGTTGTAGAGAAGGCAACAGGTGAATGCAACAGGTTTGCTGAAGATTACTCAGTGAGTTTATTACTGAATAAACTGAATTCCAAAACTCAAATGAGGGACTTCTTGGTTCTTACACCAGAGTTACATTTTGTGAGTTGGGCAGCCATGTAAATCTGAGAAATACAAATAGTCCTTGACTTGCAACCAATTCGTCCTTGATTTGCAACCAATTACCTCGGTAAACGACCACACTCCAGATGTTCCACAATCAGCTCATATTTACAACTGGTTATAACATCACATAGTCACATAATCATGTTTTGTGACCTTTTTTTCTTTTTGGCAAAAACGCCGATTTGAGAGATGGATTTGGAATTGTGACCATGTGATTCACATAATGACTGGCATAAAAACAATTGTAAAATTGGGTCCAGTCACATAGTTGCCTCGATTTACAACCATCACAATTTAGGACCAAAATTCCAGTCCCTCCTCAAAAGCAGAGGACTATATGTAAATAAATACGAATCTTAGCCATCACGGTATAAGGGAGGCTGTTCTAATCTGAACTTGACAGGCCTGCTCTCAGGCAGTGCTGGGGTCTCCAGCAGAGATTAGAGGCAAGTGAAAGTGATGCAGTTATCAGGATTATTTGCAATCCTGTGGGATTGGGGGGGGGGATTGTAAAAGGAAGGTGATTTCGTCCCATGCCAATAACGTTGGCTCTTGCTTTTCTGTCTTTTTCTCTTAGGCTACCAAGGACCTGGAGAATTACGATGCAGCTCACCACGAAGAATTCAAACGGTATGAGATGATGAAGGAGCACGAGCGTCGGGAATACCTGAAGTCCCTGGATGAGGAAAAACGTCGTGAGGAAGAAGCACATTTTGAAGAGCTCAAGAAGAAACATAAGGAGCATCCCAAAGTCAATGTCCCGGTAGGGGGAACCTCTTTTGGGCTTCCAGGGGTTTGGGTAGAGATTGCTTGTTTTGGCTTGCATTGTCCCAAAGGTGCTTTTCCAAAAGGGTTCTGGATCTTCTCCTTCCCAAGAAAGTCCAGTTGCCTTTTGGAAAAGTACCTTTGGGTAACTATAACCTGGATGTCCCAAAGGTGGGCCTTTTTTTTTTCAGGAGGCAACTGGATGTTGTTTTCTCTTCAAAGACATTTCACTTCTCAAGAAGCGTCTTCAGCTCTGAAGAACAGAACTGAAGAAGCTTCTTGGATGAGAAGTGAAACGTCTTCAAAGGAAAACCAGAAAGTCCAGTTGCTTCTTTTTGGGGGGGGGGGGGGATGGAAGCACCTTTGGGACAATCATGGCCTCATGACTAAGAATCTCCATAGACATTTGGCTTGAGTTCCTCATTATGTCCTTGCAGGGCAGCCGTGATCAACTCAAGGAGGTCTGGCAGGAGACGGATGGTTTGGACCCCAATGAATTTAACCCCAAGACTTTCTTCAAGCTTCATGGTAGGTAAATCTGTATGTGTAGTCCTAAGAAAGCTTGTCGGGGAATTGCACAACTGGTATCCAAATGAAGTTATAAACGCTGACATGTAGTTTTATATAAATATATAAATAAATATATTCTCCTGTGCGCTGCCTCGAGAATCCAAGCATGGATTAACTTTGTCCATTAGCCTAGAGATTGAGTTATGAAATTGTTGACCACGCCTCCTCTGACTGGAAGAGTTCGTTTTTTTAATTCAGTCCAGCCTGAAGAGACGCATAATTTTTCTCTAGGGTAATAGAAAAATTAACTCTTTCAACTGTAAGTATTTTTGTGTGTAGCATTTTTCCTTTCCTCTAGGTGACTACAGAATTTGAAAGGCAAGCTGTCTCCGTTCCGATGGACTGCCTTGCCAGGCTGTTTCTCAGCGCAATACTAGCGCCTCCAAGTCTAAATCGGCCGGAACTGGTGGCAATTGATTTCCTCGCCTGCCAATCACCGCAGCCGAGACCTGGTACGCCACTCTGGTGTCGGCTACTTCACGCGCGATCCGCTTATTAAGCGTGATCAGTCCCTCCTTGTTAAAACTTGATTGCCACTGAACTTGACTATCCGGGCGTGATCGGCTTTCCTGTCAGACGCGATCCGCTTAAGGAGCGTGATCGGTGTCCTGCTGCCAGCACTACCACTACTGTTGTGACTGCCACTGCCACAAGGGAAAGCAGTGTCGAAGCGGCCATTGCCTTCGACGGAATTTGAAACGGTGGTCATTTTGGAAGTTTTAAATTTTACACTGTTGAGAGCCAACCAAAGGGCGGCTGGATTGTTCGAGCCCAGTTAGCGTGACACAAGATCACCCGAGGGTGGAGCTAACAGCATCTTGACGCTGGCCGCCATTGCGCACGATTCGCAGTAAAGCGGCTCGTGTTCTTCTTACTCTGTGTTCTCTATTGCAAAGTCCGATAGAACAAATCTTTGTTTCAACTCGTTTCAAATCTTCAACTCAGCTAATTATTCTGAATGAGCTTCTAATAGTAATAATGGCTGATCACTTGGCGACTGGAAACAACTCGGGGGCAGAAATCTCTCCCTCATTACCATCTAATCAGTCCAAGGCCAGCGATAGAGTTGGGAGGACTGCCATCAGGACCTCCTGCAGGACCAGGACAGGCGCCTCATCTGTGGCTGCAGATAGGGCTGCAGGGCGCAAAGTGAAAAATAAGAAAGGGATCCACCTCCACTTCCAGCAGGTCCTCACCAGTCCTCACGATGCAAGTTTCTCCATCTGCTTCCCCACCCAATCTGGCAGGGGTCCAGGGTTGGTCCCCTGATATTCCTATGCCACAAGGCCTTTCTGTAGGAGACGTGGGATTGAGGCCCCAATCCTTATCTGATATCTCAGACATGTTGGAGGGTCAGGCGCCCGCATCTAGATACACGGAACTGTCAGCCACCTTTAACCCCACCCGAGGAAACTTCTACCTTCATTATTCCTCCGGAGCTTAGGGATATGATCTCTGTGGCCATAACTCGGGGAGTAGATGCTGAACTCCAGAGAAGGGGGCAACGTCCCAGAGATTCGGCCCTGTCCAGGGACCCGTCCGCTTCCCAGGAGGATCCTCCCTCTCCACTTCCCTCAATCCACAGTGAGGGTTCTAACCTGGGTGATGAGGGGGACTTGAGTGAGCAGGAGCTCTCTGATGATGACAGCCAGTGCAGGATAAGCCAGCCTTCTCTGGATTATTTTGGCCTACATTGTTTAAATCACTTATGCAAGGCCAAGACTACCGCCAACATGGGCGGCACCACCACACAGGCTAGTGCAGCAGTGGGCCTGGACTCCATGGGCCGGTTCTTTGCTGAACAGGTTCAGGAGAAGGATGTTATTCCCTTTCCTAAAGTATTTTTAGATGTAGTGCAGAGACAGTGGACGCAGCCTACAGCGATTCCACCTCCCAGCAATGGCAACAGAAAGCTATACAGCTCAACCCCGGAGGTAGACGGGATTCTTCAGTTCCCTACTGTAGATCCCCCAATTGCTGCCTTAGACTCCTCAGCCTGGTGCCATCTGAACTGTTGGAAGGCCTCAAGGGAGAGGACTGCAAAGCTGAATTGATGATACGCAAGACGCACCAGGCTGCCACCTGGGCTTTCCGATCTGTGGCTGCGGCCTCATTTTTCAACCGGATATCCCTGGTGTGCTTAAGCAGCTCTAGGCCAGAGTTGCCCCAGAGGTTATGCAAGTGCACCAGGATATCAAAAAACTAGTCGCAGCACTGGAATATTCCTCTTGACGCTACTTTTAACGCGACTAAGTTCGCATCTCAGGCTATAGCGTCCAATATCACCTCCCATCTCCTCCTATGGCTCCGTAGCTTCGACTCCATTCAAGGGTGGCGCCTTGTTTGGTACCACCTTGGATCCCATTTTAATAGAGATGAGACAAACGCAAGGTGGTCCCATCCACCACCAAGCGTTCAGATAGGAGACACCAGCCTTATTTCAGGAGGAAGCCATTTCAGGCCCCAGATTCCGGCTTCACAGCAGCACCCTATGTTCCCGAGTATAACAGGCCATACACACAGGGACAAGACTGTTCCCAGGACTGGTCAGGGACCCGGGACAGAAATAGAAAACAGAATCAGCGACAATTGCAGGCTCGGCGGCTATTTCATGGTGCCAACAACCAGTCCTTTTGCCGGTATAGGTGACTCCAAAAAGAGATGGACCCATTGGCGGGCGATTGACAGCCTTCGCAAGCCAATGGGCAGAAACTACCTTGGATGCTTGGGTTGTACAGACCGTGAGGCTAGGCATCACTCTGGAGTTTCTCTCCATCCCCCCGAGATGTTTCATCAAGTGCCCCATCCCCAGGTGTCAGGTGAAACAGGGTCTCATGAACCAGGAGATCCAACACCTGTTATCCATCAACGCCATAGAATCAGTTCCCCAGGGATAGGAAAGACTAGGGTTCTACTCGATCTTGTTCCTAGTCCCCAAGTCCTCAGGAGGATGGAGAGCCATCCTAGATTTAAAGCAACTCAAATTTTACATCAAATACCAAAGATTCAAGATGCAGTCCCTCAAGAGCATACTTACCTGCATCAGACAAGGTGACCTTATGACATCAGTCGACATAAAAGAAGCCTACCTACATGTGCCAATACATGCAGCACACAGAAAATTCTTGCAGTTCCACTTTGCGGGTCGCCATTTTCAATACAAGGCCCTGCCATTCGGCCTTTCATCAGCCCCACAAACTTTCACCAAACTATTGGCAGCAATAGCCGCGTATCTTCGCTCCCTACCAGTTAGAATAAATTGTTATCTTGACATAGTCTTGATCCCCTCGTCATCACGATCCCAGGCAGTTCGAGACCTTCAGACGACTATCAACACTCTACAGCACCACGGGTTTGTGCTGAATTTTCCAAAAAGCCACCTTCAGCCAACTATGAGACTGTTGCATCTGGGAACTCTCGTAGATTCTGACACATGCGAGGTGGCCTTATCTCCGGAACGACGCAGCAGCATCCAGTTGCTGGTGAGTCATATTCAAAGTCAAAGGTTCTTACCGCTGGCAGTGCTTTCCCAACTTCTGGGAAAAATGATCTCGTGTATAGACATTGTTCCCTGGGCACGCTTCCATGCTCGTCCCCTCCAGTGGTTCCTTCTTCCATTTCAGAGGGCGCACACCAGCCACTCTCAATCCAGGGTACAAATCTCACCCAAGGTTTCCACATGGCTCCACTGGTGGAAGGCTCCTAACCTGAGCTGGGGGTCTCTATTCAAGGAGCCGGAGCGCATTGTGGTAACGACAGATGC